CTCTCTCTCTCTCTCTCTCTCTCTCTCTCTCTCTCTCTCTCTCTCTCTCTCTCTCTCTCTCTCTCTCTCTCTCTCTCAAAGAAAAAAGAAGAATAAGAAGACGCCTCAGAAACTAAGCGAAGATTACAATTGCAATGCATGTCAGCTCACTAACAAACCACCAGTCGGACAAATTTCAATGGAGTTCAGTCATTCGCCGATATGATTACAGAGCAATGGCTCAATATTAAGCATGGAGTAGCTAAGTTGCCAACCAAATCAAGCTGTAATATTAAACCACCACTACCTCCGAGCCTCCTTTTGCCGAGAGGTGGATTCCCCTGCGCGCCAAGCTTTGCCGAAGCGCCAGCGCGCCAGGCTCATTTATTTTACTACCGTCTTCACCCCCCCCGAATATAATGCACAGTCATTATAGCTGCATCTGGACAGAAAATTCCCCTGAATACAGCTATAATGTCTGGGCCGTTTCCATTCAGGTGAAGACGGTAGTAAAATAAACGAGCCTTTGGAGGCTACCATGTTCGCCCAAACAGAACGCCCGGCCATTATCGCTGTATCTGTACTGCAAGTAATACGGCTATAATGACCGGCCGTTCTATTCGGTTGAAGGCGGCAGCTCATTCCGCACACCCTTGAGTTCGGATCCACATGGAACTTGATGAATGAAATTGGATATTCCTGAATTACGTGCGTCCGGCGTCTGCTCAGTTTGGCAACTGATCTCTTGAGGCCAACACCCTTTTTTCAAACTTCAAACCAAAAAGAACAACACAATTGAGGAAATCAAGAAGAGCCCTCACAACTTCGAGGCGCAAGTTGAAAAAAAGAAAAAGCAGAGAGAGGCGAAAGCAATGGGCAGAAGCTAGCAACTGATTTATTTTTCACTCTTTTGAACAGTTGGCTGCTCACATGTGTCAGGTGGAGATTCCTTCTTAAGAAAATTTTTCCAGAGCTTGGGAATGAGTTACTTTCTCTGGTTGCAAGAGGGCATTCATTTCACTGAGGACAAAAATCACTATTGCCTTGCAGCCGCCGTCTTCTTTTTCTGGACGCCAGCTGGCGCATGTAGTAAATGCAGCGGCTGCCTAACGGGATCAGGCATATCGACTTTCCCTCCCTCCTCACAAACACTCTTCCTTCTACATCTGCCTCCTGCTGTGTTCACATCTTTTCCGGTTTGTACATCGGATACTGTCTAGCGGCCTCGGCGGCGGCACCTGAATTGGAGGCTGGAGCTCGCTGCCATGACGGCAGGAGAGATGCACGGCGCCTTATCGGAACCGCAACCCTTGCAGCAGAGGCCATGCAGTGCTCGATTCTCTCCACGATCCGATCATCTGATGTGGCCAATGGATTTGGTGCAGCCTCTAAGCTGGCAGAGCAGTGGGAGAAGACCTATAACATTCTTTTCTTTTCACAACAACAGGATAGAGGCCCTGCCAGATACCTACCTAGCTAACCATCTTAAAGCGGAGGCCATGCAGTGATCATCTCATTCCGATGTGACTAAGGGCCTCGTTCGACATTACTTACGTGAAGCACGGTTAGGCAAAACTCGGGATCCCACATGTTTCCGGGTGAGTAGGGGGGGGTGCTGCATTAGCGAGCATGTGGAAACATTTCATGTTGTGACACCACGCCCGGAATCCTGGCCGTGAAAGTAGATGGGATTTTTTTTCCAAAGTGCAGTACCCCTACCCTGACGGGAGAAAGGAGCTTTTTTTTTTTTTTTTTTTTTTTTTTTTTTTTTTTTTTTTTTTTTTTTTTTTTTTTTTTTGTGTGTGTGTGTGTGTGTGTGTGTGCGCGCTTTTTCTCGTTGTCCTGGTTGGCTAGCATGCGGGAGTTGCCAAAACAAACGCCGAGCCAACCGTGAAAGTTCCCATTTGTACGGGTGAGTGGGATGCAATATCTCTTTTACGCTCCGTCCGGTGCACCCCCGTCTATTGCGTTATTTTTACGACTCTTACGTAAAAGAACATAGTTGGATCAGCCCCTAACCACCAGTACTTGAGAGCAAGGTGCGCCCGTTAACGCGCCAGCCTTTCGGGGATGTACGGCTTTGCCTGCGCCCAGTTAAATTCAAGCGCATTCAGAGGCCCGCAGACGACAAAGGAAGGGTCCCAAGTACTGGGGTATTTTAATGGGCGTGGTGCAGTATCTCAGCCCGCTGCGGCAGCATCCGCAATAGCCAGCATGCGCGTGCAGGACGAAACATGACATGATTTTTGCCACGATAGCAGGAGATGAAAATCTTGTCAGGAAGCCTTTTTTTTTTTTTTTTGGTCTTTCTTTCTTTTTGTTTGTACTTTTTTAGGCAGTGGAGGCTGCAATCATTGTACACTGTGATGGGAACAGATGCACGTCAGAAGGCCAATTTTTCTGTAACAGAGGCGATGAAGTGATCATTCCATTGAATCCATTCTGATGTGATCAACAAGATGCGATGCAGCCTATAATATATCTATTGTCTAGTCTACAACACTCCATAGATTTGTGGAGCTGAGGGCTTCTGCAGAGCGACTGTTAAAAGTAAGGGTGTATATTAAAAAAAAAAAAAAAAAAAAAAAAAAAAACCGAAAAAGAAAGTAAGGCCCTGTAAGGGTGTATATGGGAATGTACATGCGAGGTGTCAAAACTATCACCAGACGAAAACCCCTCACCACAAAGACCAATAAAAAAAAAAAAAAAAAAAAAAAGGTGCAAGGTTACCCATGTCTGTACAGGTGAACAGGAATTGCCGCCACATTCGTCCAGTTCCAACATGTACTTGCGCTAAAGTACGACTCTGTAGACCTGATGCCTCCCCTTGCAATACAAATGAAAGAAAAAAGAGGGTGCAAAGTTGCAAACCACACCCGACTCTTCATGCGACATGGGAAGCCCCACTTCCAAAACCTCTTTTTTAAACAACCCTTGCACTCGCTAGCAGTGCTGGTACGAGCACCCACTGGTAGTGTTGCGTGGGAGCCCCCATCCAAAGCCTATGGGAATTGCACCTGAAGCATAAACTGAACGATTTTGTTGCTGTCAACAAGCATTCAATAAATACCAGGCAATGGCCCGGAAAAAAATTCGGCGGAAATAGTAATTGGGGGCCCATGTTCCTCCTGCAGCCATGGGAACTTTCATGCAACACCGGAAACCCAACTGCGTAAAACACCTCCATCCCTTTTTTTTTATAAATAAAAACAGGTCCTTATGGGCCCGGCTCCACATCCATTCTCAGCAGCATCGGTTAGTTCCTCCTCCTCCCTCAGCAACTCAGAAATCCTACACAGTTTACAAACTCTCAACCCAGGATTTATCAAACTCTCAACCCAGATTTTACAACCCAGAAATCCTACACAGTTTACAAACTCTCAACCCAGGATTTATCAAACTCTCAACCCAGATTTTACAACCCAGAATTTACAACCCAGAATTTTACAACCCAGAGTTTACAAACTCTCAACCCAGAATTTATAACCCAGAATTTTACAACCCAGAGATTACAAACTCTCCACCAGGATATCAAGAAACTCCAGGTTGCCGCCATTCCTGAGGAAGTGATCCCCGTTTGCCCTATGTTTACAGACGACTTAACAGTCATGGTAGATGCCTCCCCAGAGAATATGGAAGGAGATCAGAAGGTTAATGGATAGGTTTACGGCAGTATCGGACATGACAATTAATTGGGGAAGCAAGACACTAGGTTGGTGGATTCATTACCAAGGCGTGCGGCCCCCCGAGCTGCCGCGAGTCAAATGGGTGCCGGAGACGGCTCCGATTAGAGTTTTGGGCATCATGTTAACAGCTTTAGGCAAGCCGGTGTCCAACGATGATTCTATTTTGAAACCCGCGCTTGAGAAAATTACCCAGTGGAATGACAAACACACATCGCTGATGGGTAGAGCGCTGGCTATCAACAACGTGGTTTTGGCTTCGCTCTGGTATAGGTCAGCAATATGGGCCCTGAGCAAAGAAGCCGTAAGAGCTTTAAAGAGGCAAGCGGTCACGCTACTATGGAGAGGGGATAGTAGTCTCCCTAACGTCATTAATAGAGTGGCATGGTCGTCGGTCATCTAACCCAAGGACAAAGGAGGGTTAGGGATCCTCGATCCTATCATACAGGTCACAACATTGACAATACAATGGATTAAGAGGCTCATATTTACTCCCCTCCTCCCGTGGCGTGCCATGCCTTGGAACAGATCGCAAGATTGCCCCCCCAGGCCCCCTGGGAAGTGGATCCTCTGTCCTGGTTGGAGGACCGTTTCTGGACTATTCCACGATATTATAAAACCCACGAGGTCTCTGATCGTGGGATGGCCAGAACGGACTTGACCAAGGATGATTTCTGGGTCAAGGGCCTGCGTGCATGGCGCCAGCTCCCGCTGCCTGACAAAGGGACACCAGATAGATGGGAAGAGGTGACGAGGCAGCCGCTTTTCGACAATACGAGTGTCACTGATCTGCATGGGAGAGTATATTGTGGTTCCATCCCCCCATGGAATTGTTGGGTGAGGAGAGGGTTAACAAGAATCCGGGACGTATGGGATGGGTGCGCATTTTGCGAGGGGGGCCGAGATTCCGGAACGGGGACTGGGTAGCATCAGTGGGGGGTAGGGAGAACATAGGTAGGATGATGGAGGTACGGGAGGAAGAAGTGTCGGTAATCCTCCTCCATCGGTAATCGGATAATCGCCTCGTAAGGCATCCGCACGATGAGAAGAAAAGGTGGCAAAAGGTGGATTCGTATAGAATTAGGGTAGTGGGGGAACAAGGTGAATGGGTAGCCTTCCATCCGGAAACCCCGCTCGCCAAACTCCCCATTGATCCGTTGGAATGGCAATGGAATTCATCCGACAGAATAAGATCAAAAAAAAGTAAGCAATTGTTTGATCTGTCTGTGAAAGCTACCTACCGGCTTCTTAGGCCTCGGGTTGACCTTAAGAGCACTGTGCGAGAGCGCTGGTTGTCCCATCTAAATGTGGGAAGGGACTGCCTCCGCCCCATCTGGTGGTTCACCGCCACAAAGGCCAGACCGGCAAATATGGCCTCTCTGCAATGGCAGATTGAGCACCGCTGCCTCCCCACGAATGACTGGCTGATTGATCGTACATATTTGGAATAAAAGGGTTTAGCCACACCATGGTGTATGTCCTGTCTGACGATCTTTCCTGCCCGCAAGATCCCCGAGACTATAGAGCACATTTTTCTGCAGTGTGCAGGGGCGGTCCTTACTTGGCGCTGGTAGGATCGGATTTGGAGGTTGCTGGGCACAGAGTCTGAGTGGCTGTGGGACTGGAGAGCGCTTCTGTGTGAAACATGGTTCTCCCCTACGAACAACACTTTTGAAGAGAACATGTTTAAGGACGGGAGGAGAGCCGTTATTTGGGCACTGTGGAGGAAACTGTGTATATTATCTATTGAGAAAGTAAGAATAGAGGGTGCGGAAATGACCGAGCTTACGATACAATGGCAGACATTGAAATCTAAATTGGATCGATTTCATACCAAAAAAGACATAACGCAGGCCATCAAGCAATTCTCAAGGGATTGGCTGGGAAGTGACCGGGGGGTAGAATGGCTTATGTTCGTTGGGAAGAAGGCAATCTCCTAGAATGCGGAGAAGATAATGTGAGACGAGACTATATCATCTGTTTTCAGGACTGGACCAAGGCTGATGCAGCAATACCGCTGCGCTCCCCCTGGACTTCCCCGACCCCTTTCCGCCCCATGGTCTGTCAATGGTGGATCTCCAGTGGTATGAGTGAGGGAGAGACAGGTATAAGCACAGACACGGGGGCTATCCCCTATCTTCAGGGTAATCAATGCTGGCAGGTTGGAAGACAGTCAGAAACATCTCAGCGAGATTGAAATGGTTGTTCTGTAGGGGACGCTGGACCCGAGTTCCAGCAGGTGGTGCTCCCCACCAATAGATGGAGCCTCCCCGGAAAAGAAGTATCTGATTAGAGAGGACAGGGATGAAAAGCGGGGAGGGAGGGTGGGCGATGACATTTGGGACATTTGGGACATTTGGGACAGGGTGGGGAGGGGCAGCTGAGGGAGGGGGGAATTAATTCTTAGCAACAAGTATCTGCCGCC